TTCATAACAAGGTCAATATTAAATTTGTTTTGTTTCACACTTCTTCCTTCTGTTAACTACTAAACCAGTGATCTGTATTAAAGAACTGTTTTTGTTTGTTTCACACTTCTTCCTTCTGTTAACTACTAAACCAGTGATCTGTATTAAAGAACTACTTGTTTTTGTTTTGAGGCAATGGATGGTCAGTACGTGTGTGCAGCTCTCAGTTCCCAGTATGTGATAGCTGATTGTTGGAACAGTTTCAGCCAGCATCTTTTCCCATATGAGAGTGACTTAACAACACCACTTGTAAAGCGAATCACCAGGGTAAGAAAAAACTTTGTGTTTTTTAACTTATTATTAATGCAGAACATAAAAGTACTTGTAAAATCAACTAGCTTATTTGTTAATGAAGTGGCAGCATGTTATAATTAAATTTATTTGAAGTTTATGATCAAAGTTTTAAATATTTTTTCAATACAAAACATATTTTGGTAACTTTGAATTTCTGTTATTAGTGCAAACTACTTGTGCCTTGACATAATATCTACAATGATACTTTCATGCTTTTGATCTGGTTGTTAATTTGTGACACCTTTGGTTAAAGTACAGAGCTCCTTGTTTTTTTGAATAACTCACTATTTTTTATTACACTGGAGAAAGTATGATGCAAATGGCTAACATTTTAGTTAAAACTGTCTTATTCAAGACTAATAAATTAAACATCTTATAAAAATATACTAATACTTTGCAATATGTGTAAAAAAACTGTATTGCTGTAATCTGATTACCATGTTTCATATGGACGACACGGTACACTGCAGTACTTCACGATATGTGTAGAAATCTTTATTGTTGTAACCATGTTTCATATGGATGATACAGTACACTGCAATACTTCACGATATGTGTAGAAATCTGTATTGCTGTAATCTGTTTACCATGTTTCATATGGACGATATGGTACACTGCAGTACTTCATGATATGTGTAGAAATCTTTATTGCCGTAACCATGTTTCATATGGACGATATGGTACACTGCAGTACTTCACGATATGTGTAGAAATCTTTATTGTTGTAACCATATTTCATATGGACGATATGGTACACTGCAGTACTTCATGATATGCGTAGAAATCTTTATTGCCGTAACCATGTTTCATATGGACGATATGGTACACTGCAGTACTTCACAATATGTGTAGAAATCTGTATTGCTGTAACCACGTTACATATGGACGACACGTTATACTGCAGTACTTCATGATATGGGTAGAAATCTTTATTGTTGTAACCATGTTTCATATGGATGACACGGTGTACTGCAGTACTTCACGATATGTGTAGAAATCTTTATTGTTGTAACCATGTTTCATATGGATGACACGGTTACTGCAGTACTTCACAATATGTGTAGAAATCTGTATTGCTGTAAACTTATTACCACGTTACGTATGGACGTTACGGTGTAGGGCAGTGTTTCACTATTTGTTGAAAACAGCATTGGTCTAATATGAATACTATGTTACCTTGGATGATATGGTACACTACAGTGCTTTGATATGTGTAAAAAAACTGTAGTGCTTCATGTATGATGCAGACTTTATAGTTCACAATTTGCAGGTTATAATAAATGTTTATAAAACTAGTGTAGGATAAACTGGTTTATCATATACACACAAGAGGAAGATTAAATCCCGTGTAAAAACTTTATACTCACTCGATTAGAAACAAATATATTTTCTTTATTGTTATTACAGAAGAGAAAAATATAATTAATGACCTTCTGTTATATTTATAAAGAACATTGACTCAGAATAACTAAAACTGTGGTATTCTGGATATCGTTAAAATGTCTGAAGTAAACTACAACTCAACCTGACCCATATTTTAAAATATCTTGATCTAAAATAAACAACTAACTTAATCATGACCATTCTTAAAGTAAACTATTACTACTACTAAATTAACTGTGACCACATCTTAAAATATCAAAATTTTAAAGTAAACTAAACCACTACTATTAACTTACCTGGACCACATCTTAAAAGAGGCCTCAACAAATATTTTCAGATCTAGGAGCCAGCCCAAAAACTTGGGAGCCAGGTCCAATATAGAAAAGTTATGGAATATATTTTGAGTCAGTTGTGTGGTTATGGTACGAGACATAGATTTACACTAATAAACAAAGAGTTCATTATTAAACTTTATTATATATATATATTAAAGTTAAACTTCAATATGTGCAATTATTAAAATAGTAGACTAAATAACTATAACTTAGGTGGATTCTTGCAATGAATGAAAGTAAAATAAAAATAATCACTGTGATATCGATAGGGCAAGCAGGTTGTTTCAGAATAAGTTTAATCTACTTATCGCTACAATACTGTACAATGATAAGCAAAGGTCTTTTGGTGTGCCTAACCTAACTTCACTACTGTTTGTACCGGGAAATGGGGGCTATATTTATTTACTTTCACAGCAATGAGTGCGTGCTAACAATCACATGATATCAACAATCACTTGATAGTATTGCCTGAACTAACTTTCTTTGGTCCCATCTGAGTCTAAACATGTGCACTGATTGGTTGAACTGAGAGAAAGAAGAAAACAAAATGGCACAAAATTAGTAACGTGTTGTACAACCACAACATTTCATTCCTGAAAAAACATGAATCCACCATTAAAATCCTAGAAACAAAGTTTGATTTCAGACTCAAAGTATGTGAAAATAGTTCTAGACTTCCAAGAGTCCAGAACTGTTCTAGATTCAAGTTTTATTTAGCACATCTCTACACATGAACAAAACGGAAGAAAATACTAGGCACCACAATGAAATTTTTAGTCGCCAGGGCAACCTGGCACCTGGGATTTGTTGAGACCTGTCTTAAAATATTACAATTTAAAGTAAACTAAACACTACTACTACTAACTTAACCTGGACCACATCTTAAAATATCAAAATTTAAAGTAAACTAAACACTACTACTACTACTAACTTAACCTGGATCACATCTTAAAATATCACAATTTAAAGTAAACTAAACACTACTACTACTAACTTAACCTGGATCACATCTTAAAATATCACAATTTAAAGTAAACTAAACACTACTACTACTAACTTAACCTGGATCACATCTTAAAATATCACAATTTAAGGTAAACTAAACACTACTACTAACTTAACTTGAACCACATCTTAAAATATCCCAATTTAAAGTAAACTAAACACTATTACTAACTTAATCTGAACCAAATCTTAAAAAATCAAAATTTAAAGTAAACTGTTACTCAACCTGTGTCATATCCTAACATATCTTGATCTAAGTAAAGTATTAACTTAACCTGAACTATATCATAAATATTATAATCTAATACCCCTAAATGGTCAAGAGTAAATTTACAGATCTATAATGCTAAAATTTGGGGTTTGATTCCCCCATGGTGAACAGAATCTAGATAGCTTATTGTGTAGCTTTTTGCTATAAAACAAACAAACTAAATTAAACTACTAACTTAACCTATGTCATATCTTAAGAGATCTTAATTTAAGGTTAATTATTACTTAAACTTCTGTGTTACACAGTATTTATCAGTGAAGGTAGTTTGGATCAGTGTCTGCTTGTAAAATTAAACTTTTATGTTACACAGTATTTGCCAATGAAGGTAGTTTGGATCAGTGTCTGTTTGTTAAATTAAACTTCTGGGTTACACAGTATTAGTCAATGAAGGTAGTTTGGATCAGTGTCTGCTTGTTAAATTAAATTTTTATGTTACACAGTATTTGTCAATGAAGGTAGTTTGGATCAGTGTCTGCTTGTTAAATTAAACTTCTATGCAACACAGTATTTGCCAATAAAT